GATTGGTGCAGTAAGTCCAATTCTCCATCACCACTACACTAGGGAAGAGAGGCAAATTGCTGAAGCAAAAGGAGGATGAGGGATGCCTTTATTGCACGTTGGCCATTTAAAGGAGAGATGACCAGCAAGCGAGCAAGCAGAGGAAACAGAGCAGATTCTGCCACAATGTTGTGGTGTGCTTTCAAGTAGTTTCTGACTTAGGTTGACCCTGAGTGAGGGCCGGGTAAATGACCTTGGAGGGCCGTATCCGGCCCTCGGGCCTTAGTTTGAGGACCACTGATTTAAACTGTTATGTTGATTCATATCATGATGTGATCACCATGCTCAATGTATCCCATATGCATGAGGGTTTTTGGGATAATGATACAAAAGGTTTGCTAGGGTAGATTCTCCCCCCCCCCCCCCCCCCGAATCAAACTCAGCCCCCCCCCCCCATCAAAATCCTGGCTCCGGGCTTGCCAGGGGAGATAGGGTGGGTTGTAAATAAAGTATTATTATTATTATTATTATTATTATTACTATTATTATTATCTATATAAATAAAAATGTAATGTTCGTTTGTGGGATTAACATAACTCAAAAACCACTGCCAAATTGCTGCCAAATTTGGCCACAAGACACCTAATAACCCAAGGAGTCACTTAAAAATGATTTTTGTCATTTGGGAGTTGTAGGTGCTGGGATTTATAGTTAACCTACAATCGAAGAACATTCTAAATTCCACCAATGATGGAATTGGGCCAAACTTAGCACACATGACCAACAGAAAACACTAGAAGGGTTTGGTGGGCACTGACCTTGAATTTGGGAGTTGTAATTCACCTACATCCAGAGAGCACTGTGGACTCAAACAATGATGGATCTGGACCAAACTTGGCACGAATATTCCATATGCCCAAATATGAACACAGATGGAGTTTGAGGGAAATAGACCTTGGCATTTGGGAGTTGTAGTTACTGGGATTTATAGTTCACCTACAACCAAAGAGCATTCTGAACCCCACAAATGACAGAATTGGGGGAAACTTCCCACACAGAGCCCCCATGACCAACAGAAAATACTGTGTTTTCTGGTGGTCTTTGGTGACCCTTCTGACACCACCCTGATGACCCCCCCCCCCAGGGTCTTGACTTCCCAGGTTGAGAAATGCTGCTTTAAGGCCATCCAGTCCAACTCCCTTCGCCAGAGCAAGAAAACATAATCAAAGCCACCCAGTCATTCACACACACACATATATGTAAATGACAAAGGGCCATCCAGCTATTCACACACACACATATATGTATATGACAGATGCAGTACCATAGATTTGAGAGGGACCCCTAAAGATGGACAATGATATGTTCCATGTTCCAGAGTAGGCAAACCAGACAATCTCCACATCAACACTGGCAAAGAAACAGCAAGAAATACTGTTTACCCACAAGCATAAAAACATTATATATATTAGAAACCAACACTTTCTCATTACTTTATTTTCCAGATCACCAGACTGGGCCACAGCAACACGTGGCAGGGGACCGCTAGTACTATATATTATTGTTTGTGTGTGTGTGTGTGTGTGTGTGTGTGTTATTATTATATGCCTAACCTGGGCAATGCCAGGCATATATGCAATTTTTATGTTTTCCTACAATGGGACTTGAGATTGTGGGTATTCAGGGGTTCGTGGGACCAAATCCTAGTGGATACCAAGGGTCCTCTGTATGTCCAATGCCACCATCTAGTCCAGTGTTTCTCAACCTGGGGGGTCAGGACCTCTGGAGATGTCACAAGGGGGTGTCAGAGGGGTCACCAAAGACCATCCAAAAACAGTATTTTCTGTTGGTCATGGGGGTTCTGTGTGGGAAGTTTGGCCCAATTCAATCATTGGTGGGGTTCAGAACGCTCCCCTATTGATGCAGGATGCATAAAGTAAGTAAGTAATAGGCCTGTCGGTTTTGTTTCGTTAATTCGTTATTTCGTATTTAATTCGTTTTTTTTTTTGCATATCCGACGCGATATCAAAACATATTTTCAAACCCGGAAGGGTTTGAAAATATCGAAACAGCAGCCCCATTTTTTTTACGAGCTTCAGCTCGTCTCGTAAATGGAATGGCGGCTGCTGTGCTGACTTCAGTGCTGTGGTCATGTGCTGGTGCCTGGGAGCCAATCCGGCGCTCCCAAGCACCCCAGCAGTGAGTGCACCCTGGCAGGAGCCGATTGGATGGCGCGCGCGCGCTCACCCGCGCGCCATCCAATCGGCTCGGGCTCCTGCGCCCCCCTCCTCCTCCTCCTCCTCCTAGCACTTCCTGCAACACAGCTGGGAGGAGGAGGAGGAGGAGGGCGCAGGAGCCCGAGCCGGATGGCGCGCGCGCGCTCCGCTCACCTTTACAACCGGCCTCCGCTCCTGCTGTTAGCCCCGCGCGCCATCCGGCTCGGGCTCCTGCGCCCTCCTCCTCCTCCTCCTCCTACCAGCTGTGTTGCAGGAAGTGCTAGGAGGAGGAGGAGGAGGAGGAGGAGGGCGCAGGAGCCCGAGCCGGATGGCGCGCGGGGCTAACAGCAGGAGCGGAGGCCGGTTGTAAAGGTGAGCGGAGCGCGCGCGCGCCATCCGGCTCGGTCTCCTGCGCCCTCCTCCTCCTCCTCCTCCTCCTCCCAGCTGTGTTGCAGGAAGTGCTAGGAGGAGGAGGAGGAGGAGGGGGGCGCAGGAGCCCGAGCCGGATGGCGCGCGCGCGCTCCGCTCACCTTTACAACCGGCCTCCGCTCCTGCTGTTAGCCCCGCGCGCCATCCGGCTCGGGCTCCTGCGCCCTCCTCCTCCTCCTCCTCCTACCAGCTGTGTTGCAGGAAGTGCTAGGAGGAGGAGGAGGAGGAGGAGGAGGAGGGCGCAGGAGACCGAGCCGGATGGCGCGCGCGCGCTCCGCTCAACAGCAGGAGCGGAGGCCGGTTGTAAAGGTGAGCGGAGCGCGCGCGCGCCATCCGGCTCGGGCTCCTGCGCCCCCCTCCTCCTCCTCCTCCTCCTAGCACTTCCTGCAACACAGCTGGGAGTGGGAGGAGGAGGAGGAGGAGGAGGAGGGCGCAGGAGCCCGAGCCGGATGGCGCGGGAGGCCGGTTGTGTGAGTTTACTTTTCAGGGCTGTATGTATGACCAATCCAGAAGCATTCTCTCCTGACATTTTGCCCACATCTATGGCAGGCATCCTCAGAGGTCTGTTGTTTACATATGGGGGATCTACTTGAATGCTTTAACAAGTTAGGCAAAGTTGTGCACTTTCCCTTTTTGGTATTTGCGTAAAACTTGGCTGATAAAACCACCTCCAGAGGGATATTTGTCACCACATTCCAGCCACATTGTCACCTCCTGGTCGACAAAAAAGATCTCTAATGGGGTTAAAACAGACTGGTATGGCAACTAGGCCTGTTTGATCAAGAAAAAATTTCGATATTTAAAATACTAGGCAAATGGAGTTTAAAAAATGTTTTGTAAATATTTACGAAATTTCGTAAATAACAAAACATTTTTTGTGGAAAGTTTTGTAAATATTTTAAATATCGAAACAAAAAAACACCCCAATTACAAATCGATTTTAGAAACAAATTTTTTCTTGATCAAACAGGCCTATTCTCAAGTTAACACCTGACACCACCAAAGAAATCATGGTGGTTCACGAAAAGGCCTTAATGGTGCATTATTTAAACTGTTATGTTTATTCATATCATGATCTGATCACCATACTCAATATATCCCATATGCATGGGAGTATTGGGGTAATGATACAAAAGGTTTGCTAGGATAGACCCTCTTTCACTCAGACTCAGCCCCCCCCCCCCCCGAAACTCAGCCCCCCCAACCCCCCTGAAAAAATTTTACCCCCCCCCCCCCCCCCCGAAACGAAATCCTGACTACGGCCCTGGCCCTATTCAATCATTGGTAGGGTCTAGAATGCTCTTTGATGGTAGATGAATTATAAGTCCCAGCAACTACAACTCCCAAATGTCAAGGTCTGTTTCCCCCAAACTCCACCAGTGTTCTCATTTGGGCATACTGTGCCAAGTTTGGTCCAGATCCATCATTGTTTGAGTCCACAGTGCTCTCTGGATGTAGGTGAACTATAACTCCCAAACTCAAGGTCAATGCCCACCAAACCCTTCCAGTATTTTCTGTTGGTCATGGGAGTTCTGTGTGCCAAGTTTGGTTCAATTCCATCGTTTGTGGAGTTCAGAATGCTCTTTGATTGTAGGTGAACTATAAATCCCAGCAACTACAACTCCCAAATGTCAAGGTCTTTTCCCAAACTCCATCTGTGTTCATATTTGGGCATATGGAATATTCGTGCCAAGTTTGGTCCAGATCCATCATTGTTTGAGTCCATGGTAGTCTCTGGATGTAGGTGAACTACAACTCCCAAACTCAAGGTCAATGCCACCAAACCCTTCCAGTATTTTCTGTTGGTCATGGGAGTTCTGTGTGCCAAGTTTGGTTCAATTCCATCGTTGATGGAGTTCAGAATGCTCTTTGATTGTAGGTGAACTATAAATCCCAGCAACTACAACTCCCAAATGACAAAATCATAATTTTGAGTGATGGTCACTCCTTGTGTTGTGAGACATTTTGTTGCCAAATTTGGTGTGATTTCGTTCATTGGTTCTTTTGTTTTTAAGGTACTCATTATGCACAGAGCATTATAGATAGATAGATACTAGATAGATAGATAGATAGATAGATAGATAGATAGATAGATAGATAGATAGATGGAAGAAAGATGGAACCAATGCAGGAAAAGGGATACGAATCTTATGAAACAGCAGCCTAGTACAGACCTCCTCTTGTCCAGATGATTTCTAGCCTCAGTTGCTTTCTTGGACTCTAGACTTAGGCTGGATCTACACTGCCAAACTGCCTTATTGGGGTCTAATGGGCAATGCAGATCCAGCCACGGAGGCTTTCCCATTCAGATCCCTCCTCCCCGCAGAACAGGCCCTTTAACTCCCATCCTCGGCTCTCTGCCTTCCTTGGACTCACCTGGCGCTGCTCCGGCTGCGACCCCAGGCTCCGGGCGCCGGGAGGAGGAAGGCGCCCTCCCTCCTCCTCCTCCTGGGCAGCAGCAGCCGCAGGAGATGCCCAGGGACCCCCCGCGCCGCCATGGCAGGGATCAAAGAGGCTCTCCCTTCCCGAAGGCAGGCAGGCAGGCAGGCAAGCAGGATGCCTGGCTGGCTCCACCTCCTTCCTGCGCCTCCCGCAGCAGGCTTCTTAGCAGTAAGGGAGCGATGCGCGCCCCCACGGAGGCGGTTGCGCGCCTCCGAGGCCTGGGCTGACCCCAAGGCCAGTCGGGCAGGACAGCTCCATCACCCTGAGGTTTGACCAGCTGCCACTGCCATCAGGCCACATCTGCAACTCCCATTAGCCACAGATATGGACAACTGCAATCCCAACAGCAACAGCAACGAATAATCTTCTTTTTCCTCTTCCTCTTCCTCTTCTTAATAATAATAATAATATATTAATTATTATATATTATTATTAATAATATAATATATTATATAATTATTAATATATATATAATATTAATTATTATTAATAATAATAATAATAATATAATTATTAATAATATTATTATTAATATATTATAATAGGTGTATCCAATAATAATAATAATAATAATAATAATAATAATAATAATAATTTTAATCTAATAATTGAATTAATAGTAATAATTTAATATTAATTATAATTTTATTTCTTAATACTAATTTAATAATATTAATCTAATTATTTAGTTAATAATAGTAATAATTTAATAATAATAATAATTTTATTTCTGATTTAATAATTTTGATGACACTTTAAATACTATTAATTTAATGATTTAATTAATAATAGTAATAATTTAATATTAATAATAATTTTATTTTAATACTAATTTTAATAATATTAATCTAATTATTTAAATAATAATATTAATAATTTAATAATAATAAAATAATTTTATTTCTGATTTAATAACTTTCTCAATTTTGATGACACTTTAAATACTATTGATTTAATAATTTAATTAATAATACTAATAATTTAATAATAATAATAATAATTTTATTTCTTAATACTAATTTAATAATATTAATCTAATTATTTAGTGATCTAATGTTATTATAGTATTATTAGGATAAGTAATTTTTTATTGCTAATAATGAATAGGATTGAAGAAGTGTAGGGAGTGGGATGAGCTAGGAATAAAGAATATTATTTAGTATGAATGATTCTTACTATTCTTAGGAGTATATTGGAGCGTAATGCAGGGAAGGATAAGTAATATCGATGAGGAGGAGGATGGAATGAAGACGAAGCATTCAGTATAGATCTGGTATGGAATATTAGTATTTTAAGTGGATTATTAGTACTAAGAGTTTGATTAATAAGAATGAAGAAAGACAGGGATGAAGAGTAGGAGGGAGGTGGCCGAAGAAGAGGAGGAAAGAAGGAGGAAAAGGAAGGAAGGAAGGAAAAGGAAGGAGCAAGAAAAGGAAGGAAGGAAGAAGAAGAAGGAAGGAGGAAGGAAGGAAGGAAGGAAGGAGGAAGGGATGAAAAGAAAAGAAGAAGGAAGGAAGGAAGGAAGGAAGGAAGAAAAGAAAGGGGAAAAGGAAGGAAGAAAGAAGAAGGAAGGGAAGGAAGGAAGAGGAAGGAAGAAGGAGGAGGTAGAAACATGAACGTGGTGTGAGAGTAGTATGATTGTATTAGTAATAATAATATAAAATTATTTATTAACGAGTAGGAGTAGTGATGTATTATTATAATGATGATTAGTTTAAATTGAAACTTTACGTAATAATAGATTATTGAGTTAATAGTCTTAATAGTGAGGATCATGATTTGATATGTAGTAGTATTGTAGTATTATATTTCATTATATAAGGATTATTAGTGATTAATCTGTATTTAAGAATGATTGAGTACTTATCGTAAGAGGAGGAGTATTATAATTATTAGTCATAAAATAATATATTATTATTTTGCATTTTCATATTAAACACTAATATAATATTAATATGGATTGATTATATTCTTATTATCATATTATTACTGATTAGATAGAAGCTTCATTATGTCACTATTATGATGAAGAGAGTTATTAAGAAAGCAATAACAGAAAGAAATAAGTATTAGGAGGAATGTAATAGGAGGAGGTACAATAGTAATTAATAATTAAGAATAATATTCTTAGTAATAGTATGCTGATTATGGAACGAGGATGTATGAAGTTAAAGTCATAAGAAGGGAGTCTGATTACTTCGGAGGCATCCGAACGAATACGCTCAGTATGAGTTGGTCTCATCTGGCGTAAGATGAATGTTGATTGATGAATACAACATTTTGTATTTAAGACATAATCCTGGATCGATTGAATACGGTGATGATTAGGAAGTATAGAATAAGATCGCTATTAGTAGATTGAGGAGGCATGTATGAATAATTCGTTAGGTAAAGGCACGGAGACAGAAGAATATTGCTTATAGTATTATTAACATAATAAAATAAGAAACTAATATTAGTATTATGAAGAGTAGTGAGTTAATATTATTCTTATTCATTTTTTATTTAAGACATAATACGATTATTCATTTCGTTTATTATTCATACTACTATTATTATTATTATTATTAAGAGGGATTTGCCATTGACATTCCACTATTTTATCTCTAAATTATTATTCTTATTATTTCATCACCATCTATAATGGCCTGCTGTAGGTATCATGCCTTCTTCTGGCTCACATCTGCATTTCTGTCATTTCTTCCATATTCTTCTTCTCATCATCAGAGAATCCAATTATATTATTCCTCTCATCCACTTTTATTCTTTTTCTTCCTCTTCCTCTCTCCCCCTCCTTTCTTCTTCTTCCTCTTCTTCTCTTCCTCTCTTTCTCTTCTTTTCTCCTTCTTCCTCTTCTCTCCTCCTCTCTTCTTTATTAATCCTCCTCATCCTGAGCTAAGGCTTTATTCTAATAATATTATGCTTGCATATTATTATATTACTTCTTCTTCCTTTATTCTTCTTAATCGTATTCTTCTATTATTCTGAATTTTCTTATTCTATTCATTCTTATTTTGCGTTCCTCTCCATTTTCTTATTAATCTTCTTCATCACTTATTATATTCAATCTTCTATGCTTCCTCTTTCTCGTCACTCACTCCTCATCTTCGTATTTTCGGTCATACTAATAATATTATTTCTGGGTTGTTTGGTTCTTCTTCTCTATGGCTCTCATTCTTCCTCCTCCTCTTCTTCTTCTTCTTCCTCCTCCGCCTCCTCTTCTTCTTCCTTTCCTCTTTCTCTTCCTCTCTTCTTCTTCTTCTTCTTCCTCTCCTCTTCCTCCTCCTCTTCTTCTTCTTCCTATCTCCTCTCCTCTTCTCTTCCTCCTCTTCCTCTTCTTTTTCTTCTTCTCCCTCTCTATCTCCTCTTCTTCTTCTTATTCCTCTCTCTTTTCCTCCTCTTCTCTTCTTTTCCTCCTTCTTCTCTTCTTTCTCCTCTTCTTTTCTTCTTCTTCTCCTCCTCCTCCCTCTTTCTTCTTCTTCCTCTTTCTCTTCCTCTTCTTCTTCTCCTTCTTTTCTTCCTCTCTCCTCTTCTCCTCTCTTCTTCTCTCTCCTTCTTTCTTCTTCTTCTTCTCTTCTTCTCTTCTTCCTCTTCCTTCCTCCTCTTCTCTTCTTCTTCCTCCTCCTCCTCCTCTTCTTCTCTTCCCTTCTTCTTCCTCTTCTCCTTCTTCCTCCTTTCTTCTCTCCTCCTCTTCTCCTCTTCTCTTCTTCTTCTTCCTCCTCTCTCTTCTTCTTCCTCTCTCTTCCTCTCCTTTTCTTCTCTTCTCTTCTTCTTCTCTTCTTCTCTTCCTTCTCCCTCTTCCTCCTCCTCCTCTCTTTCTTCCTCTCTTCTTCTCTTCTCTCCTCTTCCTCTTCTTCTCTCTTCTTCCTCCTCTTTTTCCTCTCTCTCTCCTCTCCTCCTCCTCCTCTCTTCTCTCTTCCTCCTCTCTCTCTTCTCTTTCTCTTATTCCTTTTCTTCTTCTCTTCTTCCTCTTCTTCTCCTCTTCTTCCTCCTCCTTCCTCTCCTCCTCCTTTTTCTTCTTCTTCTTCTTCTCTTCTTCCTCCTCCTCTCCTCTTCTTCTTTTCTTCTTCTTCTCTCCTCCTTTCTCTCTTTTCCTTCTCTCTCTCTCTTTTCCTTTTTCCTTCCTCTCTCTTCTTCCTTCCCTCTCTTACTCTCTTCTCCCTTCCTTCCTTCCCTTTTTTTCTTTCCTTATCTCCTACTGTCTTCTTCGGTAATCTGCCCAAGGAGTCGCTTCCACTCTTCTTCTTCTTCTTCCTCTTCTTTCCTCTCTCTCCTCCTTCTCTCTCTTCTCTTCTCTCTGCTTCTTCCTCTTCTTCTCTTCTTCTCTTCCTCTTCCTCCTCCTCCTCCTCCTCCTCCTCTTCTTCTTCTTCTTCTTCTTCCTCTTTTTCTTCTATAGAAATAAAAAGGTAATGTTCGTTTGTGGGATTAACAGAAATCAAAAACTACTGGGGGGATTGACACCAAGTTTGAACACAACACACCTAACAACCCAATGTATGTCCTTCACTCATAAAAACACTGAAAAACACAGTAGAAGGGACTTTAAAAGCCCCCAAAATGATGAAAAGCTAAATGACAATACAGAAAAAAGGGAAGAAAGAGAGAGGGAAGGGGAGAAAAGAAAAATAGAAAAGAAAGAGGGAGGAAGGGAAAGAAAGAAGGAAAGGGAGAAGGAAGCATGGAAGCAAAGAGAGAAGGAAGGAAGGAAAGAGGTAGAGAAGGAAGAAAGGCGAGAAAGAGGGAGGGAAAGAAAAAGGGAGAAGGAAGGAAAGTTAGAGAAGGAAGGAAGGAGAGAAGGAAAGAAAAAAAGGGAAAGAATGAAGGAAAGAGGGAGCGAAGGAAGGGGGGAATGTAGAGAAAGAGGGAAGGAAAGAGAGAAGGAAAGAGAGAAGGAAGAAAAGAGAGACAACAGAAGAGAAAAAAAGGGGAAGGAAAGAGAGAAGGAAAGATGGGAAGGAAGGAAGGAAAGAAGGAAGGAAGGAAGGAAGGAAGGAAGGAGGAAACAAAGGAGAGAAAGAGGGAAGGTTGGCCACAGCCAAGCGTGGCGGATACAGCTAGTCTATATAAATAAAAATGTAATGTTCGTTTGTGGGATTAACAAAACTCAAAAACCATTGGGAGAATTGACACCAAATCTGGACAGCATACACCTAA